GAACAGGTGTCTTTTATACAGGTAACAAAATGATATTAGCAGCACTCTCTTTAAGAGACTGTTTCTAATCTCAGCTTGTTACCTGTATGAAAGACACCTGGTTTCCAGAAATCCTGCTGAATGATAGGGGATCAAATATTTATTTCCCTCATGAACATGCAAATCAGTGCATAATTTGTTAGACATGCGTTTCTTTTGAAATTTTTGTTGCTATTCCCTCTCTCAGTGTTACAATACACCTACCGTTCGATTTTTAGACTGATCATTTCTTTGTGAGTGGACAAACAATCAAAATCAGCAGGGGATCAAATACTTATTTCCTTCACTGTATATATATATATATATATATATATATATATATATATACATACACTGTTTAAATATACATATATATATATATATATCTATATATATATATATATCTATCTATATATATATATACAGTGGGGATCGAAAGTTTGGGCACCCCAGCTAAAAATTTGTATTAATGTGCATAAAGAAGCCAAGGAAAGATGGAAAAATCTCCAAAAGGCATCAAATTACAGATTAGACATTCTTATAATATGTCAACAAAAGTTAGATTTTATTTCCATCATTTACACTTTCAAAATAACAGAAAACAAAAAAGTGGCGTCTGCAAAAGTTTGGGCACCCTGCAGAATTTATAGCATGCACTGCCCCCTTTGCCAAGCTGAGACCTGCCAGTGTCATGGATTGTTCTCAATCATCATCTGGGAATACCAGGTGATGTCAATCTCAAAGGTTTTAAATGCCCAGACTCATCTGACCTTGCCCCAACAATCAGCACCATGGGTTCTTCTAAGCCAGTGGTTCTCAACCTGTGGGTCGCGACCCCTTTGGGGGTCGAACGACCCTTTCACAGGGGTCACCTAAGACCATCAAACAACACATTTCCAATGTGTAAAGAGTAAATAATTTTTATGGTTGGGGGTCACCACAACATGAGGAACTGTATTAAGGGGTCACGGCATTAGGAAGGTTTAGAACCAATGTTCTAAGCAGTTGTCTAGAAAACTGAAACTGAAAATAGTTGACGCTCACAAAGCTGGAGAAGGCTATAAGAAGATAGCAAAGCGTTTTCAGATGTCAATATCCTCTGTTCGGAATGTAATTAAGAAATGGCAGTCATCAGGAACATGGAAGTTAAAGCAAGATCTGGAAGACCAAGAAAAATATCAGACAGAACAGCTCGCAGGATTGTGAGAAAAACAAATTCAAAACCCACGTTTGACTGCACGATCCCTCCAGAAAGATCTGGCAGACACTGGAGTTGTGGTACACTATTCCACTATAAAGAGATACTTGTACAAATATGGTCTTCATGGAAGGGTCATCGGAAGAAAACCTCTTCTACGTCCTCACCACAAAAATCATCGTTTGAACTTTGCAAATGAACATATAGACAAGCCTGATGCATTTTGGAAACAAGTTCTGTGGACCGATGAGGTTAAAATTGAACTTTTTGGCCGGAATGAGCAAAGGTACGTTTGGAGAAGAAGGGGCACAGAATTTAATGAAAAGAACCTCTGTCCAACCGTTAAGCATAGGTTTGGATCAATCATGCTTTGGGGTTGTGTTGCAGCCAGTGGCACAGGGAACATCTCACGAGTAGAAGGAAAAATGGATTCAATAAAATTTCAACAAATTTAGGATGGTAACTTGATGCCATCTGTGAAAAAGCTGAAGTTAAAGAGAGGATGGCTTCTACAAATGGATAATGATCCTAAACACACCTCGAAATCCACGGGGGATTACATCAAGAGGCGTAAACTGAAGGTTTTGCCATGGCCTTCACAATCTCCTGACCTCAACATAATTGAAAATCTATGGATAGACCTTAAAAGAGCAGTGTGTGACAGACAGCCCAGAAATCTCAAAGAACTTTAAGACTTTTGAAAGGAAGAATGGGCAAAGATACCTCAAACAAGAATTGAAAGACTCTTGGCTGGCTACAAAAAGCGTTTACAAGCTGTGATACTTGCCAAAGGGGGCAGTACAAGATATTAACTCTGCAGGGTGCCCAAACTTTTGCAGATGCCATTTTTTTGTTTTCTGTTATTTTGAAAGTGTAAATGATGGAAATAAAATCTAACTTTTGTTGACATATTATAAGAATGTCTAATCTGTAATTTGATGCCTTGTGGAGATTTTTCCATCTTTCCTTGGCTTCTTTATGCACATTAATACAAATTTTTAGCTGGGGTGCCCAAATGTTCGATCCCCACTGTATATATATATACACTGTATAAATATATACTATAGAAATATACATATATATGGTATTGCCTTCCAAGAAATGTTCTTTTTCTATATATGCATGTACAACACAGTGTACAATGCCAGCATCTGTCGGGTACTGGGATGAATTAACTTCCATGTGCATGCATTGGAGTTAAGTTATCCTGGGTTAGCCAACAAAGATGGCTGAAGATGTCAAAACTGGTAGAAGTTGTTGATGTTGATTCTCAGAGATGAGACATAGTTGGAGCAGAGGTAAGCTTAGTTCCACCTTAAGAAGTCAAGGTGAAGAAGGATATCAAATTAGTTTTAAAAATGGGTTTGTTAGATGGAAGTCTGTGGTCTGCTTTATTATTCTGCAACAATGCACAGGGTGGTCATTCTAGATCTTAATCTGTATATGCTCTGCAACCTTCCATGAAGTCCTTCAGGATATAATATATATATATATATATATATATATATATATATATATATATATATATGGTACAGGGGCCCTAACAGCTTAAATATTTATTGTATAAGAAGCCACAAGAGCAATGCTTTTAGCAAACCTATCATTTGCCAAATTAGGGCAAAGCAACAGGATTGTTTTAATCCCACCCTGTTTAGCAGCATACTTCCCTCTTCTCTGCTCACCTCCTGCTTCAGCAGTAGTACTTCCACTAAAGAAGGAGCTTGTGTCTCAGGCATTAGACAGTCAGTGCTGTCACATTGTTATGTGTCCTCATTCACACAGCATGTTTAAAATTTTTGTAAAAATATTTCTTACCTTTTAAATGTTTCACAGGACAAGGTGTTATGGCCGACCCAAGTCTATCCTCATTAACATAAAGTACAAGAAACCGATTGATAAAACAGACAGTGTTTAAATCTAGTTACAACTGGTAATAAAGATCTAAATAATAAAGAGTAAAGTTTAGAGGTCAGACGTCAGATACGTCACTTCCGGTCATGCGTATTGGCATTATACACGCTGACCTACAAGGAGGCGGCCATTTTCACATGCCATGAGTCATGCAAAGCTGTACAGGGGCCATGGAGAGATGTCGGCTGATGTAAGCGGTTGTTCCCTGGATCAACACGGCAGTACATGTGAAGGACATTTCCATTTTTTACTACCCATGGCACAGGTGGTGAGTGGACTGTTACAAGAATAATGAAGAAGGCTTCTTGTTACCTATTATATACATCAGAGTGAAAAGTACCCAGATTGACTGTCCTTATATTATTTGTCTTATTTCAGGATGGGGACATTATGATGTATATCTAGATGCAAGGCATACAGCATATATTGCAACAAACGGAAGACCCATTGGGCCTCATTCTATCACGTATATTAAAGTGGTTTATAGTCCACATGCTGTGGTGAAGAAACCATATAAAGCAGGGCTCTGCTATCTACATTTATTATTCCATCAAGACATCAACAGTGACTCTCTCATCTATAAGAATTTTTGCAATTATCTGCATCTACCACAGGTAGATGGGCCCCAACCACGTGTGCCTCTATTGGGTTGTACTGCATGAATCTATATTCATGTTATTGGGGTATATCCCCCCTTCTTATGCAATCTTTTACCCATATCGCCTTGAATAGGCTAAGGGTTATGTTTCTCTCTACATGGTAACTGTATTAGCTATTATGCATAGCATGTGATAATTACATTATATATACCTATGGTACAATTTTTTGAAAAACCTCCTACAGGGAGTGTAACCAATGTGCGGTGCTGCAAATGCTCTAGACAAAGTTTGTCACTGCCTCTGCAGCACATATATATCCAGACCGGTTTTGGTGTGATTTTAAATGGTTTTAGGTCTGTGTGTATTGTCTCATACTGAGGTGATGGTAAACCAGGGTGATTGCCCGATTGTCAATCAGTAATGTTTAATAAAGCATCATTTTTTGGAAATTTTTCCAAGTATCGCATTCTGTCCATAATGTAGCCGCTTTCTTGTGAATCTCTTTTCACAAATTTCTTTGTTGGTCTGATTAATAAAGATCTGCCTGCACAATACAGAAAAGGGTTAATTATAGCAAACACAGCTGCCCAGCCCCCCACCAAAGAGAACTACGTAGCATTTTTCCTTGCTGGAGGGTTTGGAATAGAACATCTAAAAGAAAGGTGACATTTTTATTTTTTTTTAAGTTATGCGTTGTGAATGAGGACATGTGACAAATATAAAATAGGTGTTATCCCAATTTGGCTGCAAAAGTGGAAATACACTATAAGCGACATTCTTTTTGCTCAAACAGTTGACTGGATAGGTAAGGGAGTGATAGGAATGTAAGCACAAGTACATATATGGAAGTGGGCATTAAGGAGAACTTGTTGCTTTGCCTTGCATTGACAAAACACAGATCCGCTTATTAAATAGTGGCCAACCTTCACATTGCATTACATCTGTTGAAAAGAGAAGTTGAAAAAAATGTAAATGCACTTAATACATTTCCACCTGTGGTGTCTAGATGGAGGTGGGGGATGTTGATCCTTCTTGTGAGAGCCTGAGAATGCCTAGTATCCCAAATCTTCAATTATTATCAAGAAGATTTTTTGGACTCTGCTGAAGTGTCTTAAGATGGGTGATATTCAGCATTCCCATTATCTTGCCAAAAAGTTTGTGACCTCATTCCCTCCTTTAGCAGGGGAAGATTGGGTCAAGGGACATTTGCTCTTTGCTCCAGTACAAATAAAGTTATGTTGGGTTAGGGATCCTGGGTGAAGATACTTCACCATTTAGAAATCAGTCCTCAGCAAGGGCGGACTGACCATTTGGAAACTCGGGCACTGCCTGAGGGCCCGGGGTCATTAGGGGGCCCCATGAGATGCCCCTGGTACCTCTTTCATAGGCTTTTTTAAGTTTGAGCAAGGACATAGGGGCCCCATGATCCCCTATTGCCCGGGGGCCCCATGAGTTGTCAGTCCGCCCCTGGTCCTCAGTTAGTGAAACATAAGGGTAGTAAATCCAGTTACCTCATTCTGACCTACAAACACAACGTCTGACAAAGGGAAGTCTTCTAGTTCCTACTTCCTTTAAGGCTCTGAGATGTCATGCTAAGAATCACAAAGGAAGCTTATGTTGTAAAATGTGAAAATGTGTGTTGCAATATACTATGGCCTTAAAGTGGTAGTAAACTGCAGCAACAAAAAAAAAATTGGGCCCTGGGCAGTTTAAGCCATAATGTACTAGTATGCACCCCATACTAGCACATTTTGACAGACTTACCTGAAAATGAATCCCTCCAGCGGAGCGCTGTCACCGCTTCCATTTTCACCTGGTTTTCTTTCTGGGTTTTCTGGCTTCAGTGATATGAATGGCGGAGCCATGATTACGTCACGGTTTACGGCACAGGGTTCTGAAGGAATGGCACGGTTTGCTGTTCCTGCAGAGCGTATGTGCGGTGATGTCACTGGCTGCTTCTTTAGTAAATATCTCCTAAACTGTACATGTACTATTTACTGTGCCTTATTATAGGCTTACCCAGGGGCGGACTGACAACTCATGGGGCCCCGTGCAATAGGGTATCATGGGGCCCCTGTGTCCTTGCCCAAACTCAAAAAAGCCTATGAAAAAGGTACCAGGGGCATTTCATGGGGCCCCCTACTGACCCCAGGCCCTTGGGCAGTGCCCGAGTTTCCAAATGGTCAGTCCATCCCTGGGCTTACCTATAGGCAGGGCAGCCAATAAGGGGGGGTACCACTGGGCCTCCTGTAGGGGGCCCGGCCAGTACATGTTCCATACAGGGGTGGACTGTCCATTCGGTCAGGGGGCCCCATGAGACGCTCTGTCACTGCACCTCTACCCATTGTGGGGCACTGTTCATACTCTATCAAACGTTCCTGCAAAGCGGCCTCTGTTCACAGCGGTCTTCTCAGCAGTCCAATGCATTACAACCCCCGCCCCTCCGCTCACCTGTCATCGGGATCACTGTCCCTCCCCTCCCCTTAGCTCACTGGCCACCGGGATCACTTCCCCGTCCCTCCGCTCAATGTGATCACTGCCTGCCCCTCCTCTCACCTGCTACCGGGATCACTGCCCTGCCTCTCAACTCGTCTGCCACCGGGATCACTGCCCCGGCTCAGCAGCCCTGATCTCCCATTCATTCTACCGTGTCCCCAGCTCGGAATATCCAGAGATGATTCTGTATGTGGATGGAGGATTATCTTCCCCCACTCCTGTGAAAGGGGCTATGGAGGCAGCAGATTTAAATATACAGAACACAGCAGCAACTCTACATCCTGACTGCCTGAGCCTACAAGACAGCAGCCTGGGGCAAGAATTGTGAATAGCAGACATACTGACCCTCCCTCCCTCTCTTTCTCCCTCTCTCCCTCCCTCTCTCTCTACCTCAATCTCTCTCCCTCTCTCACCCCCCTATCTCTCTCTCTCCCTGTCTATCACCCTCCCTCTCTACCTCTCTCTCCCTCTCTCTATCACCCACATCAGATAGGCAGTAAAGGGCCCAATGATTTCTAACAGCAGCTCTAGCTATAGGAAAAAATCAACCACGGGAGTTTACTGCCACTTTGATCACTGTATTCATGTCACTGGGGATGTCAGTGACACCAACTCAGTTCCCCCCAGTGTCAGAATGCCCGCATTCCTGCTATAAGTTACGGATCGCCTCCATTACTAGAAAAAAATAAAAATTCCAGTATATATACTGCCATTTGTAAATGCTATAACTGTCATGTAAACCGATTAATTTACAAGCATTGGGATTTTTTTTTTAGCAAAGGCATGTAGCAGAATACATTTTGGCCTAAATTTATGACGCAATCTGATTTTTAAAATCTTTTTACTGGACGTGTTTAATAACAAAGAGTAAAAAAATAGCTTTTTTTGTCATAGCGCAAAAAATAAAAAACACACCAAAAGAAAGCTCTATTCATGGGAAAAAAGGACATAAATTTAATTCGGGTGCAGCATTGTATGACCGCGCAATTGCCAGTTAAAATAACGCAGCGTCGTATCATAAAAAATGGCCTGGTCAGGAAGGGGGGTAAATCCTCTAGAGGGCAAGTGGTTAAGGAGCTCCTATCTTTTACCATGTCCACCAGTCAATGAAACATCCTGATACACGTTGCATTGTACTCTTTTTTGTAGGCCCACAGAAGTTTGTTCCTACCATGAGAGGATTGTGTTTAGCCCCCAGATCAAAGGTTCATAGAAAACCATCTGCTAGTTTATGTCACTTTGCAGCAGGATTTCCAAGTAATTCATTATATATTATGCATTATCCATGGATGAAAAGTGACACCATCACCAGGTTTTTTCACTTTGAAACTGCAGCTCAAGCAGAAACTACTACCTACTGCTGCTGCAGATATTCTGACAATGGAGAGATAGTGCTAGTATGTAATTCACCTTGCCAAGAAGCACGTCAATGAAATTTTACATTTGGATGGACTCTTTTTTTACAGATTAGTTTTTAGTTACCTTTACCATGATGGGTTAGAGGTGAAAGGTCTGATCAGTAGATCTGTATTTTTCATCAGAGAAATAAATGGATGGAGCAATTAAGCAATAAAATTATGTGCTGCAATAAAACCATTAATAACATTTACTACATGATTGCTCCTATCAGTGGTGTTAAATACAATCTGTTATAACAGTATTACATTTTATTCTTTCTAAGGTAAAGCGAACCTACCACCTGCACAAAACTATATAACACTTGCTGCTAAATAGACATAGCAATTAAACCAAACATTTGTTATGCTGATTTCATATTACTTTGTATATTTCAAAGATGTATTAAGAAACCATTATCTAGCTTGTTCTGAATGCTAAAGCTGAAGACTGCAAGATAAAATACACCAATTAATGTAGTTATGTATTTATTGAAATGCATTTTAAATGTAGCAAGTGTAGGTTCCTGAATTTGAACTACTAATCCTTTAGCAGGTAAAATAGCTCTCAAATATGTATTTCAGCTGAGCAGGTAAAATAGCTCTCAAATATGTATTTCAGCTGAGCATTTGGCTGTTTTCTTGAAGGTTGACTTTAATAAGCAGTAATGAAAGTGTGAGCAATTTTTTATTTAGTCTATTTTGGGAAAAATATATATTCACCATTCACCTTAAACTCCTAAATATCTCTGAATAGTGATGTACTTTAGTGTAATAGCTTTTACCATGGCATTATAGTTGACTAGAGTTTATCATTTTCTTGTAATTAGACTGTGAGGATAAAAGCCTAATTCCAGGCATATGTTTTTTTTTTCAGTTTAGGAAAGAGAATGAAGTGCTCAAAATTGTTTGTGTTTCGTGATTCTGTTAATGACCTCATTGGGGAGATTGTCCTTTACTTCCTGCCCCTGTGATGCCAATGTATAAAATGGTGGGTTTGGTTGTCACCAAGACAGAAGGCACAGGAACAACAACAAAATATTGCCACCCATCTTCACTCAACTAAAATGTGCTTTTGTTTGTTGGCTGTTTCTCCATTGGAGAAATTTCCCATCACATTCTATCCAGACAGAAAGTGAGCGTGAAACTCACAAATAGGTAAATAGGCAACAATAAAAATCTTGCATAAACTTTATCCTTCCATGCAGTATTCAAAGCAAAATTAAAGGAAGATTTTTCCACTTGGCATATAAACGTTATAGCAATTTATTTGATTATAGTTTCGTGATAACCACAAATTTAAGCTATAGTAATTTGGGTTAATGTCCATCAAGTGCAAACCAAAAAAAAACCCTAAAAAACCCAATAAAAAGTGTCATCAACAAACCTTTATGTGTTGGGTAACTAAACCATTCTTTTTGGCATGTTAGTTTTTGGATTTATGTGGAAATGCACGTGCTAAATGAAATGGACGTGCTAAATATGAAATCAAAATAAAAAAGTAGTTTAACTACATAATTAAGATGACTTCAAACACATCAGACAAATTAAGCAGGGGTAAGAATCTTACTTGTGGAAAAGACCAGCCAAATTAGGTTTGTTTATTCAAATGTCTTGGAACCCAAGAGGGGATAAGTATACTTCATACAAATACATCCAAGAGCAAGAACAAAGCATTCTCAATTAGGAATAGCCTAGATTAAAGGGAATGTTCTCTCTGAGTTTCTCATGTTTTTGGGAATGCCATATGGAGGTACTTTTTTTAAAAAAACAAATGAAATTAATCTTATGCATCTAACTGCCCTTCTATGTAAATCCCTGTTTTGCTTGTAGTTTTAAAATTACCCAGAGCCTGAGAAAACACAGGGCCAACTATATTTGCTAGTTCGGGTGCACGATTATATCTCCTGGTGCAATCTTGCCTATAGACATTAGTGCTTGAGATTTAAATAAACCTAGTGGGCATTTTGACTTTAATTCTATGCAGTCTTGCTGTGTAGTCCTAAAAAATTATTAAGTTACTCCAGGGGCAGAGTGACAACTCATGGGGCCCCCGGGCAATAGGGGATCGTGGGGCCCCTGTGTCCTTGCCCAAACTCAAAAAAGCCTATGAAAAAGGTACCAGGGGCATCTCATGGGGCCCCCTACTGACCCCGGGCCCTCGGGCAGTGCCCGAGTTTCCAAATGGTCAGTCCGCCCCTGAGTTACTCTCTATTATGGATATAGACATGAGCTGACACATTGGCTTGACCAATTCATGGACAGGTGGTCCAGTTGGCTCATTTTGGCTCTCTTCTCCTTAGACAAAAATAGGAACACTTGGTTGAGTAAATTTAAAGACCTGCAGACTGTGGTGATTGAGGGTAGTTTGCCAGTTACAAATATTGAAAATATTTTTGCAAACCTTATTGAACAGTTCTACCTGCTGCTTCTTTATTGAACTGTACACACAGTTTTCCTACTTTCTGTGCCCACTTCCTACTGAAAGCTAAATTGGATGGTCTAAATACTATGGATCAGTCAAGGTGTTGTAATAGGCAAAACAAACTGCTAGACACAGCAATGAACCGATCAGTTGCATGAGCATTACCTGTCTGGATGGTTCTGTACATCATTCTCTCCCCACACCCACTGACACAGAGCTGCGTCATTTGTTCACATAGATCAGTGAATGAATGAACTACAATTCCCATCTTCCACTGTGACAAACAGCTTGTAGTTCTCAATGAACTGCGAGGGCATTGAGGAGATCCCTCTTAATTCATTGCTCTTTCTGCACTTTAGTAACTGTCCATCCATATAGGAGGTATGGCCAGACAGCTGTAATGCTTGCGAGGAGCCTGACAATGCTCTGCTGATCGCTGGTGCAATGCTCTCCAGGTTCTTAAGAAAAAAAAAAATAAATGCTAATTTTTTTACCTGAAAAAATGTGCATTTATTAATTTTTTTTTTTAAGTGAACTTAATGATCACTGCTCAGTTCTCCGGCATTCTCTGAGAACACAGTTCTCCTGTGAATGCCTTTTATGAAGCAGTTCTCCGAAGGAAGGGAGAACGGTCTACAAATGGTGGAAAACGGCTGATTTTACTATAATCTCACGAGATTACAGTAAAAGATCAGTTTACTAAGCAGAGGTAAATTATCACTGCTTAGTTTGCGGTTCCTCCAATTCTCCAGCTCTGGGCTGGAGAATCTGGAGTGAGAACACAGATCTCCAGTGAAGAGCTGAACAGTTCTCCACTGATCTCCTGAGTGTCATAAACTGTGAATGACCAGAGAATAACTGTGATCCTCTGAATCGCAGCTATTCTGTGTGTCATAAACGGACACCATAGTATTATTATGATCTCCTGAAACACAGGAGATAACCATCTCCATTTCTCAC